CGTTCCAATTGGAACGGATTATCCGGTTTTCAATGCATCTCTATGGGAAATGGTGTTTCGCTTAACAATGTTTTCACATAGCGATTTTTTTTTTTGAACCAATTAAAATCGTTAAGCGAGGCACCACTGTATTCGTCATTCCCCAGGGCACTCCATTCCAACTGTTGAAAACATCAGTAAATTTAACGTTAAATAGTAAGCAATGAATTGAGTATTGTTCCTTTCTTTCAGAATAATTAGTGTGCAAAGCAGGGTTGCGTTTAAAATAATGAAAGGAAAGGTACCCCTTGCTGACTTAGAAATAGATTTTCTTAAATTAAAAAGATAACACTCTTACTCATCCCTTGTACGGGTGCTTCTGAAGTTGCACGGTGTTCTAGAAAAGCTGCTACCGCCATTGAGCCATTGACACTGTGGGTAGACCCAATAGTCTCTCTGAGGCATTAGGGTTGCACTGGTTGATTTTCAATTTCTGGCCTTCCTGAAATTTACTGTCTTCACATTCAATTGTTAGAGACTTGGATTAATTCTTGTGGTCCCTGCTTACTCCTTAGCTGGCTTATACTAACTAGAACTCACGTTATGCTGATTTGTGGGTTTTGTGCTATAATTCCTAGAATTTCAGGAGTCGTAGTCCAAAAATTCAAACCTGTCCACCAGTAACTGAAGCCTGTTAGGTTCTACTCCTGTTACCGTGCTAGAGGACCAGCTTTATGTCTTGCCTGTACATTTCGTATAGCATCGTCTGATGTAACTCAGCTCAATTTCATCAGTGTATCAGCCATTTTAACACCAACAGCAAGCACTGATTAACTTCCTGCTGACAGTGCTAACATAAAGACACACATAAAGGAAGCAAACAGCAGCAGGAAGTGTTCCAAAGTGTTGTGTCTTCAGAGTCCCAAAGAGCAGGTTTGCAGCTGGAGATCTTCTTTGATCCTGTCAGAGAGAATCAAGTAGTGCTTCTGAGAATCTAGTAGTGCTTCCAACGTGGAAGGATCTGCTGACAGGGTCTTGTTGTCCAGAGGATGCCCACATGTGTTCACAGTCCACACATTCTTCGGGGAGGCCCTTCTCCAGTCCCCCCAGTTTGAGATAATATATGGGGCTGTGCCTAGAGACAAGTGTGGGGGGAGAGAGGGAGGGGAACGTTCAGTAAAGCAAGGCGTCAAGTTCACTGTTTTTCAGCCTAACCTATGCCCAAAGTTGAACATCCTTTTCTCCTTCTGTTCCCTCCCCATAAAGGAAGCATAGCCATGCTAGAATCTGGTTTGAGAAGCAGAATTATATCAGATAAGCACACAATGCAAGTATGTTGCACTTGCATGTTTATTGTCCCCGAATTTGAGTTTCTTCAGGCAGGTCAGTTTTCCTATCGGTTTCACTGCCTATGGAAAAATAAGCTCACTAAATGTATGACTCTACGTATTTTTTTACAGATAGTTTCGAGCCACATATTATTGTATTGATGAGCCTGGATTTGGCGATTACTGGGCGTTTTCCAGAGACCCTAATAAAGACTATATTTAATGTTGAGTTCCTAGCCAGACTGGACAATCAGCTTGAAAGTAAGTGATAATTACTATTACTCTATGTATCTTTTAAAGTTTGGATATTCCTTTGGAATACTCTTGCATCACCTAAATATGTAGAAGTTGTCTTTTGCTTGGGATAGGAAAGGCCTTTTGTATTGTCAGGCTTCATCATTCTTCACTCACTGAAGAATAAAGTGTAGAAGATGAACTCACTGAATTAATCGAAGGCCTTTTGCTTTCCGACAGCGTATCTCTATTCTTAACTTCGAAAACTGGGCCAAGTGGGTGTTACATACAGCACTGATGTTACCTGTCTGTCATGGGTTTGGAGGGAAAGTTCCATCCTATGGGGAGTGGAAGGCGGGACATCAGGAGGAGGGGCTGTACTGTATATATATGTGATGCCTGAGAAAGAGATGTGTTATACTGAGAGACACTGGGAGGTGACGAAGCAGCAGCTGGGAAGAAGAAGCTGTTGTGGGAGTCTGTGTGTCAGACAGGGTACTTCTGTGTGTCAGAGTACCAACCTGATAGGTTCAGGTGTCTGTTGGTTAGCCAGAACTGATAGGTTCAGGGTCTGTGCTTCAAGTTAAGGGTTCTGTGTGAACCAAACTGTATGC